ATGGGGACTCACAGACAGAAGCAGCTTTGTTCAATGTAAACATCGATCGGAAGGGACAGCAGTCTCTCTCTCGTGCGTGCGTGCTCTCGCTCTCTCGCTCTCTCTCGCTTTCCATAGACTGAATAATTTCTTTGAAAACGTAAACATATTGGAAGTGCCTTGACTGAGGTATTGAGGTATTCCTCCAAGGTTAAGGCTGTTACCGATGCAGGCTTAGCTGGGCCTCCTGCAGCAAGCTGTCGAAATCCATGGTCTCGTACTTGCTCTTCACTGGAGCTGGGGAGGACTCCTCTGCGCTGCAATCTGGGAACGGCAGGGACACAAGGCAGCCGGGTCAGGGAGCGGGGCACAAGCACGCTCGCTGCCTAGCAGGGAGGGAAACTGAGGCACGGCAGGGCACTGCTTGCTCCCCCGCTACCGGCACGCTACATCCCAGCGCTGCAAAGCCAGCCCGGACGAGGCAGTGATGGCGAAAGGGAGCGGGGACGGTGCTGTCTCTCCCCCATTGCAGAGGGGCTGTAGCAGTGCCCAGCCCGGCAGGTCGCACACCACGGACACCCGCTCCCAGGTGCGTAAAGATCTGCCGGATCCCGCTGAATTCCGAGGCGCTGACACAGGGCCATCCCTGCGGGAGCCGTGCCGGTCGCAGGGAGGGGGTGCCTGCCTGCAGCACTCCCCAGCCCTCCGCCAGAAGCTGAACAAGCAGCCACCGCAAAGCCTGGAAAATTCAGCAAATGCCAGAAATAAGGCTGCCTAATTTAACAGCAGCTTAACCCTTTTGGGTGTGTGTTTGTGAATGAGCCATGAACGGCACGGTTGCATTTCACCTCTGCCTGTGGGCTGCCCATCTCATCCTGTACCAGGGTGAGCAGGATTTTAGGAAGGAGCCAGGCTGTGCAGTACAGGGGTGACTGCTGACCTTACAGCAATCTGCAGGTGAGGAGTGCTGGGGAGGGGGTTCTCCTGTCCCCCTCCCCACAGCACTGCACAACCGCATGCCAACATCTTCAAATGGGGTGCTATCTGTTTTCTGTCTTCTCCATGCCCAAAATGAGAGGCCCTGGGATTTATTTAGATGAACAACAGGCATTTGCACCCACAACCAAAGTCAGAGGGAGTGCTGCTCTGAGCAGATGAGATATTATAAGGTGCTAAAAGATTGGGCAGTACTTGTGTCAGACTGGACATCTAGAGATATGTCAAGACTTAGGGCTCTATTTTCTGGGCCTCAGTCTCTCATGCATGAAGTGGGATATTGAAACCACTTCACTCCCTGCAGAGGGTACAGCAGTAAACGTGCAGTGTTTGTGAAACACCTGAAGATCACAGCAACGAGGGTTGAGCAAAGCCGGGATCACCTTTCTCTTGCAGGACTAGCACAGGGTTTTGCTCCTGTCCCTCAGCCCAGGGTGCAGCGAGACCCTGGCTAACACGGTCGCTGAGTGAGGCAGGAGGTCTTGCAGAAGCCCATACAGCACAGAAAGTGTTAATGCGACCGCAGCACATTTCAGTGCTGTTGTTTTGGCTGGTGAATCTGTCCTGTGGAGTGGCAAACCACCCAGAACTCCTCTTGGGCTAATGAGATTTGCTGGCTGCTTTCTGTAACGACTAGGAAGGGACTTCTCTGCTGGAAAGGGCCCAGCACTGTGTAGAAACGCAGCAGAGACAGGATGGGCTGTGGTCAGCCGAGACCCGGCAGCCCTGGGGTGTGATGCTACGTTTTGCAGCCAACACGCTCCGGGTCCTCATGCCAGTTGCTTTTCTTCTCCCCGCCAGTCTCCCAAGCCATCTGACTGAGCTAAGAGCAGCTATGTGAGCCATAGGAGAGCCGGCGGGCTTTCCCTGCAGGCTCTAAAGAGGTTTAGTGTCCTTGCGTGACTAGTGTTCAGCAGTGCAACGGGCCATTACGGCTCTGTGCTGATGAGCAGGATGCTTGGAAAGAGCAGCTCCTGCTTTCTTACCCAAGTCAGCGTATCTGGTCCGGAAGACTTGCCCGAGGCCACCAGAGCTGAGCTGGAACGAAGGCTCGTTCCTCTTCCTTAGCAAGGTGCCGTTTTTCAGAGATAAGGCGGCATGCTCTGAATACCGGTAGGTGATGAAGCCATATTTATCCCCCCTGAGCAACCAGAGAAAGAATTCAAGATGCAATGGGCCCCACAGCCCCTCTGATGTGATTCTGCCCAGCACTGCACCCCTGTCCCTCCATCCCGCCGTCTGTCCATCCCACCAGCCCTCCATCCCACAGCCCTCCATCCAGCTGTCCCCCCATCCCACCGGCTCTCCCCACGCCCTTGGACCTGGGGACACGCTGCATCTCCTCGCCCAAAGTACCGAAACCTGGGGCTCGGCTGACCGAGGGGGGTGGCGTGGCGCAGAGCACTTCGCCGCACCGACACAGCCGCATCACTGTCACCTGCACAGCTGGACACTGGGGTGACCCCGCACCGCC